GCAGGTTGTATATATCACTAGTATATATTTTTGATATATATCATTATTCAGTTATATATTAAATTTGATATACTGATATGTAGATTATCTTAATATATTGCAATTTGAATGTAAATGCAGTTATTTTAGATGATTTAATTTTTTCCGTAGTTCTATTACGATTGCTATTGCAGAAAAAAGTAGCTCACTGATTTATTCATTTTGTTGAAGCATAAGTGATTGTATCGAGAATTAGACATTAATTTGTTCTAACTAAAATTGTAATAGAAGAAGCAATTTAAATACAGAATATTTCCTATTGTCTGTTCACCGATCTTTTACAAGTGTTTTACTTTTCATTTAATAATGCAATTATCTTTTGATATAAATAAATGAAATCACTAAAATAACACTCTATATTACATCTACTTATGCAAAGAAAGCAATTTTTCAAAACTTATAAGAATCTACTTCTTTTTTTAAGCAAATTTTGCAAGTTAATACTGTGCAAATGCATGTATGAATTTTTTCAATCATTTGTTCACTTTTATCCTCCGTTTAAGAAAAGTAAATTAAAATTAAATAGGCTTTAGGCTCTTTTTTTTTACTTTTCTACTTCATTGCGCTGTTTTAAACATCCAGATTATCACGGTTAAAATGCTGATAATCATTCAATTTACTGAAAAAAATTTCTTCCCTGAGATCCAACTTTAAAACCAGTAATATAATAGGTAGTAATATACTATTATTATTATATTGTTTATTATTATTATTATTATTGTTGTTATTATTGTTATTAGTATTATTATTGTTATTATCATTATTGTTATTAGTAGTATTATTGTTATTGGTGCGTTGAAGTGAAGTGAAGCTAAAAACTAAAACTGTTACTGAACAGAAATAAAGAGAAATGAAGTGAGTCTGTTTGTTCTGTGCATTCATTCCCCAAATGAATGATATCATTTGAGATTTGCCTTTCGCCATTAGCCGCCCACACTTTGCAAAAAGAAAATAGCCTAAAGGGTAAGTTAAAAACAAAGCAAACACATACATACATACATACATACATACATACATTTATACTTTGCTATTTTTCATTAAATCTCAAAAATTATTGCTTGTGCAATTCATTTAATTCTAAGACCTTTTGGTATTATTTATTTTCGCTATGCGACTCTTTCTGCTCTCTTTTCTTGCTATTTAAGCGCAATAATTCAGCGCCATTTTCATGCATAAATTTAACAATTATGAAATGTTTCGTTTAAATCTTATCTAAATTATTAATTATTGCTGAGTAAATAGCTTTTTCAACACATGTAAGCATTAATCCTTGTTGTTTTCAATACTTGAATAATAAATCATTGATTGAAAGGATTTTAAAAATTTTAAATAATTATATAATTTGTAGCACTTTATTGAATTACTCATTTCTATTTCTGTTCTATAATAAAAATTTAACAATCTGATACTAATATCAGCTGTTTCAGTCTCATTTCTTATGTACATAATTCTTTGCACTCTATAATTTAGTAACTAATGCAAAATTGCATTTTATGTAAGTAGTAAGAAGAATTTTGACAAAAATTAATGCAAATATTTGAATGCTTTAATTTTTAGACTCACATAAAGCAAAATATAAACTACTGATTTGACATGACAAAAATTCCATCTTATTACTATTTGTCATGGAGAAAAAAGTTCATTTATAAAAGATAAATAATTCATACTCGTTTTATTTTCATAAAAATAAAATCGAAAACGATAATTAATTTAGTAATATTGAAAGCTAAATAATCAAATTTAAAGCTTAAAAAGCGTGAATAAAAGGCTAGCAGTAACAAACAAATTATTTAAAAAAAAGATGTAATGCTAGTTAGTTGTAGAAACGTAGAAGTTAGTTTGTTAAGTTGAAAAATATTTACAAATGAGTAGTGGCAGATTCTTTTTTTATTGCACTGTTACTTTTATAAGGAAAAAAATCTTTTTTCACTCTAAAGTAATGTAAAAAAAAAAAAAAACAAATAAATCTTTAATGGAAAAAGCTTTTCGTTACAATGTAATACTTAACTTTTGGTTGATATTTCATTAAAATAACGAATTCAATGAACAATAAATAATTCCAAGTAATTGCACAGTTTTTAAGTAATTCTTTAAAAACTTTTCTATTCTTTTCCTTCCAATTATTCCACTTCATTGACTACTTCCATTTTTTTTAAAAATTAAAATTAGACTACATATTAATAGTATATAATAATAGTAGACAAAATTTAAAATTATATTTTTAGTGCTCGCATTAATAATGATAGTAAGTAGAAATCTTTCTTGTCCACATCCACATATTTTGTTGTAGTCAGCAACAAAAGCTAAATAATATTATGATAACAGTAAAGACAAAAAATTTTAATAAGTCAAATTTTCATCACAAGTAAACGCATACACAGTTTCAGGCTAAAATGTTACAAAGTTAGCAAGAGTAAAGTACTTCAAGAAATGGTGAACGATGTGTCTTTCAGGCCTTTGTGTACTTACTGACCCGAAGATCAGTCAGAAGTTTTTATCTGCTATATCACAACTGTTCTCAATTACAGCATGTTTTCTTTTAGTTAAAATTTATTAAGTACAAAGAAATTGCTTTTAGTAACTAATTTTGCTTACAAGATTCATGCATTTCTAAAAAGTATGAATGAATACTTATACTGCATTAAAAAAAAATTATTCAGCATAATCATGCGCGATTAAATTTTAAAGTTATTCCAGTTGTAAGGTAAGAAAACACAAAATACTCCAAGAAAGTCAAAATCCGTTAAGCTATTACTCTTTTTGAAAAATAAGTTGAAATGTTTTAAACAATTAGTTCAAATGATATTATTACTAGATCCAAATTCACTTCAAATAATAAAAATATTTTATAGAAGTAAATTATCATCATTTTATTGAAGTAATTTCTTCAAGATTCACTTTACTCAATTCATCAATATCAAATTATTGAAAATTTTTGTGCAACTTGATAATTATTATGTGACAAAATTAGTTATATTTTTACATATGCTTCATTAAGTATTACAGCCATAAAAATAACTGAAAATTTTCAAATGGAGCTGAAAATATTTGATAATATTTCAATTCGAGCGAAGTACTGAACTGCAATTTTTATTTGGATAGTTTATAAAATTTCCATAAAACACTAGCAAAATTTTATAGTTGGCTGAGCTAATTCATTTTGTACAGCACAATAAAAGTATAGATCTGTTCATTTTTAAAGTTATTGCATTAAATAGAATCACTGATATGATCAAAATAACTGACATGCATGAAAAATAGTACTTTTTACAGATTTTGCAAAGTACCGTACCAAAATGAAAATTCCACTATTTACTCTTCAGTATTAAGAAACTACATGCAAAAATAATAGCTTCGAAAATGATTTACAAAATTTATGTAAAAAATTATAAAGTTAACAATATAATTATAATATAAAATAGCATTTCAATGTATTTTATTTGATAACACTATACATTCAATGACTACGTATAAAGAAGAAATAATAAAGAAAAATAATTTTCAATTCAAATTATAAATTTAAGCAACCAGTTTTGATTATCTCTCCATGTTTCAGTCTTAAAGTGATTTCAAGAGAATAAAACAAACAAAACTAGCAAACTAAAAATAAGACAAGTAAGTTGACCAGAAAACTCCAAGGAAATCAAATGATAAATACACTTTGGTGGTTGCAGTGATTTTGCGAACTGATTTATTTGCTTGCATGCATGTAAGCATGCGAATGCTTCATAAGCAGAACGAATAGAAAAATGGATATGCAGAAAGCTATTTGAAATATAGTTTTCAGCAAAAACTTTTTAAATAATCCTTTTTTTGTTTTAACTAAAAAGTAAAACTCTAAAAGGCTAACGTGGATATAGTACATAAAAATGCACAAGAACAGAAAACAATAAAACTTATTACAATTTATATGGAACAGAAGCAAAGTTATTCTCAATAAATATATTTATTTATTTGTTTCCACTGGGAAAATAATCTGCTTAAGCAGCCATATATATTTGCAGAAGTTAGCAGTAAAAATAATTCGTACAAGCGATTACTTCTTGCTAAGTTTCCAAATTTGACGAAAAAAAAAGTATTTTAGTAACATTTTTCACTCTTGCTTTTCAGTTAGATGATAAGCACAATACAGCAATTTTAAAATTACTGAAACTTATAATCTGAGAACTGAAGATTACTTTTAGATAATATAATTTATTTATATAAACTTCAGTAAGATAAATTTTTCAATTGAATTTCTAAAACGATTTTAGTTTTCTATTTGTATGTCATTATTATAAATCAAGCACTTATTCAAAGTTGATTTAAAAAATGGAAAATATTGAAAAAATGAAAAATATCAAAAAAATGAATTTTAAAAAACATTTAGTCAAGGAAAAATTATTTTTCACTATAAAACTAGGGTTTTGAGACGTCATAACTGCAATTAACGCATAGCAAAATTAAAAACATTACACAAATATGAATTATTTCATTTTTAGCTCAGATGTATACTTTTAGTTATGATAAGTTCTGAATTATGGCAAATTATTGTCATAAAAAGTTTGAATAGAATCTTTATTAACGTGTTGAATAGAAATTTTTAACATTTCAAATGTTTAGAGTGAAAAGAATTCCATACAAATATTATTTTTTGACCACACAGCACTTTTTGTTACCATAGAGTATGATCAGAATCCTAATAAATCTGTCATTCTTCATTTACTTTTACTACCAGATGTAGTTGCCAGCAAGAATTAACGTAAATCTAATTGGATGTTTGATAAAATTTATTTATTTATTTATTCATTTATTCGTCCTTTTCTTGTAATTGCATATGAAAACTATGTATATTAAGAGAGATGAAAAAAAAAAGAAAATCTAAGATAAATAAATATTGCGGTAGTATTTAGTTGAGGTAGTTTTTCTATTCGGCATGGCATTAGTTCAGTTAGGATAAGTTACTGTAAACTTGGGATGATTTACTGTAAAAGGATTGCGCATTTTAAAAGCTGATTGATTCCAGGTTTATTCTTAGTCTTACCTATACAATTTTTCATTGGCTCAATTGTCAGCAAAAATTCCTTATTCATTTTTGTAATTCTTACCTCAACTGCGTGAGACTACCAAATAAATACACAGTGTTATACTAATTAGAAGTCTGGGTGAGTACTAAATAAATTATAGAAAACAATTGGAAGTGACATATTTGTATAAAAGAAAATAATGCTGCAGTCTGCATAAAATTAAATGGAAAGATAAATACAAACCCACAACTTCAGTTTCGATGAGATCATCCGAGAAACGTACATCTTCTATGCATGATTCCGGATCTGATTGCATGCTGACAACAGATGGACTGGATCTACCTGATGCTGGCGATTGCACTTTTGGCACTTGCAGATAGTTATGTACTAGATCTTCAGAATATCCAGGTGATGATCCGCCTAAAATTACTAAACTATTTACAAGTGATCAAAGAAATTTTTGGAATTAGTTATGAGAATGTGAATTACGAATAACATATCAATATCCTTTTAATTTTAAAATGAGTACCAATCAAATGGAGTTAAATTTTCAAGAATTAACTCTGTTAAAGTACTTTTAAGTAAGTCTGTGAGCGAATTTCAGAAAATGGGTAATTTTAATTCAACACAAATTGGCGCCATCAGTTTTCTTACAATCAATTTGATAAGCTTACTAAAAATTTTTTCATTCATCAAATAACATATAGTTTAATAATTAAATTGCTGGAATATCGAGTCATTTTATTATCTGTTGATAACTTAAATTTGTAATTAACATACTATTAAATCTATACTATATTTTATACTGAATCTATGTTTTAGAGCGCCAATTTTACCAATGCTTTTTAAGAAAACAAATTCAAAGCAGTAGGTTGTCATATATTTTATAAAAAGTAATTCAACTGCTAGCAATATTTTTGATTCTTTTAAGGCAGCAATAATTTTAATTACAGTGTAAGATTGAAAAGTTATAGTAACATTTGGAATGATTATCAAATACATGTATACGAAAAAAATAAAAAATAACTGGCATTTTTTAAAGTATAGGTCATGAAACTTGAATGAAGCATTTATTAAAATCAAAGAGTAAAAGTGATGTCATAAGAAATTGGTAATAAGATGAAGTAAGGTAAGAAAAGTTTTAAAAAATTGAATCGCTTAAGTTAATACAAGCAAAAGAGAGTGACTATAAATCATATATATAATTGGTAATTTAATAAACTAGTAAACAGACGAACAAGTAGAATAATTTAAGCAAATTGACTTACTAAGAAAGAAAAAAATATTTATCGTACGAATAATACTTGTTTGGGCATGTTTAAATCAAAGTAAACTTGGCGCTAGCGACGGCAGCGAAATGTAAGTCGCCATAAAAACTACTTGCGAATTTCTCTATTTTTCAAAAGGCATTTTTTACTGGATAAAAAAGGAGTAAGTTGAAAAAGTAGGCTTAGGCAGAAAAGCGAATATGTTTGAAATTTCGATCATTTTTAGGAGCAACGGGCTATATAGCACGTTTTACGAGGAAGCAGCCTTGGAGAACGCGGAAAACAGTAGACTTGGAAAGAGGCAAAGAGGTACGAGTAAGCCTTCAATGAATATGAAAATGTATCGATTCCTCGTGACATGACATGCAAATTGTTGCCACAAAATTTTTTTGTTATCTGACCTTAGTTCTAGAACTGCCTGCTAGACTATTTGTTAAATACAGCTATCAGTACAGTACTGTAATTATAAGCACTTGCAACTTTCCTTGCAATATTTTTATTTTTCAGTTCCCATCCACTTATTTTCACTTACTTTGTATGATAATTTCTTAATCACACTTATCACTGTGATATATTTTACTTATTTATTAAACTTCCTAGTAATTTTTGATATGTTATTTATTTAAAATTACTGCTCTCAAAAATTATTACATATAGTTTTTGCAAATAATTTGCAGCAATCGTTCTAACAATTTATCAAACCAGTAAATTACTGTAATTTTTTCTTATCTTATAATTGATACTAATTTAATTTGGTAATCTACACAATTCCATTTAAGCTTTAAATATTTGAAGCTTTTTCTTTCCCTCCGTTTCATAAGTAATTTTTTTGATTATTCAATTTCAAAAATTAACTTTTTAAAAAAAAGTCGTTTAATAGCTTCTGAAAGCTTTTTTAGGAAGTATTATTTTTAGTCTTTTATGTTATAAATTTATCAAAATACACAAATTCATCTAATCAATTTCTCTGTTAATATTTCTGTTTCATCTTTTTTACTACTACAGAAATTGATAGATACGACATTTAAATAGATTTATTCATGAGTAATAGTCAAAAAACAAAATTTACAGATCATTTCTTAACTTATCTTGAAACAAACCCTGCAATGATTGTTAGTGAAGAGAAAAATAAACAGTAAACACTAAAAGTAGAGTTTTTATTAAAAGTTTTTCAAGAAATACTGTCACTATAGTGTTTCACATGTTTGATAATGGCAATTACTTTGTATGCCAAATTATTAGATTAAAATTAATTCTAATAGTTTTCCTTTTATATTTTTATCTCAGAAACTTTATTTTTACAAAGCTTTACAAATCCCTACATGACAAAAAATTAATTTTAATGATTACTAGTAAAGAAAAAAATAAACAGTAAGTATTAAAAGTAGACATGAGCAAAAAATAACAAAACAAATATTCGTAATTTAAATATTACTGTAAATTTGTTTTAAACTAAAATGCAAGAAAAATGATTGTTTACAAAATAAAATAAATTCAAATGTAAATAGAAAAGCTTTCATAAGTCTCAACAAATCTTTTTGTCAAAAAATAAATTAAAAAACCTTTTGCTATATAAGGAATAGTGCCATTTCGCCTAATATTCCGCCTTGTATTCATTTCTTTACTGAATTTTTCGTTAACAACATTTGCACTTCGAATACTGTCACGACGAAAATTTTGACTTGTACTCATATTAGTTCCATTCTTTAGACTTGATGATATTTTACCATGGTTGGGTAATTTTTCTTGCTTTAAACTTTTGTAATTTGGATCTGAAAAATGAATGAATTAAAAAAGCAAATAAATCAAATTTCTTTTATATTCAATACAATATACAAGGAAGTTGATCATATAATGATAAAAATTTGATGCGCTAACAATGTCAAAATAAGAAAGTTTAGGTTATTGCTGACAAGTGTTACAATAGAGAGATTTTTCACCAGATATCATTATTATTCTATTATTTCTGTTGCCAAAAAGGCAATAAATTGAAAATTTTTCAGTATTTTCTTTCAAGTAAAACAAACTACTCCCATTAATAGGATAATTCAATTTAAAATGCCTAGTATTCTTGAACAGAATCAATCTATTTGTTGATATTTCTCAGTATTACTGTATAAAAATTTATTTCTTTTAAAAATAAAATAAATAGTATAACACAATAGTAAAGAAGATTGAAAGCTAGCAGTGATGTGAAATATTATACTGTTCTTCTCGTTCGTTCTAAAAAAGAAGTAACAATCTAAGAATGTTTACGAAAATGCAGTATTATTTTGCAGAAATTTTCGCAAATAGAATACGTCAAAAACAAATTGTATATTATAGTTAAACATTTGAAAATTAAACGAAAGAATATGATTTACAAATATCACAATAAAAAAAGTTTCAGAGCGTTTATGAATTTTGAAAAAAAAGAGGAGACCAAAAATTAAAATAGTTTAATTGTGGCTTAGGAACGAGTAGGTGAAACGAGGAAAATAAAGTAACAAAGGCAGTATTTTATATTCAAAATTCTGCAGAAGCAATTATTAATATTTTAACTAATCAGATTATAGAATGAGCAAAGACTTGGAATAATGGTTTTATTCGATATTTCTTTTGTCATATATGCATATATTTGATTAGCTTTAGTTATTCTAATTTTGGGAAATATGATTGCTGGTTGGCTGACTAATCAGTGTGATATGTTTGGAAATTATTTTAATTATATTAAATTTTGAAAACAAAGTTAAATAATAAAAACTTGCACAAATTAAGTGATTAGCAAATTCATACTTAATAGCTAAAATTGTACAATATGCACTGCTTCATAAAATAAAATGAATAAAGAGAATTTGTACTTACCAAATTATTAGTTTTGTAATTTTGATAAACGTGAGACATAAATGATGATTTCTTGGAAAGAGTCATTACATTGTCAGGAAGATTCTTCCTATTTTTAAAATTTTGTATTCAATTATCTATACAATTGAAATTAACTTTCAATTTGACCTTAGCTTTTTTTAAACGTCAGTTGTAAGTTCTAGTACGTCACTTTGTAGTAAAATTTTCATACACTTTTTGTTTATTTTATTGAAATACTTTATCCTAAAAAATAATTTTGTTGATTCATTTGTTAGCAATTTCATTTTTGCTTAATAATCATAAGTAGCAATAATTCTCGAGATATTCTAAGAGTAGAAAATTTTGTAGATAATTTTACGAATTAGCATTGTACATTATCAATATTGAGCTCAAAAGATGTATTCTTTTCGCACATGATCAAACTTTAATACAACTAACTATCCATCACTATTTATACTTTTAATTTTAAATGGAAAAAGAGACTTAATCGTTAACGTAATTAAGTATAAATCATTAATGCATATGCAAATGTGATGACACTTTTTTAACAGAGATTAAATCCGTTCCACAGTTCGTAAACTTATTAGATCTCAGCAACATTTTGATAATTTCAAGAATAAAATGATTTTATTAGAACAGTTTAGCCATGTGCATAGAAAAACTTTAATTATAAAATTACTGAATTAAATTAAGATTTCATGAGAATTGAAGGTTTCAAAAATATGTATAGCGAGTAGTAATTCAAATTAAACAATACTTTTGTTCAGATCAGCTATAGAAAAAATCAATGAAATTCGTTTTTTTATGAAAAAAAAGTATGGAAAATCTGAGCCAGAGCATGTTTCACTGATCTGCTTCAAAATTAGATGAAAAAATGATTGATAAATTGTAGTGATCTGAAACAACTGTTCATCTTATCATCTGCTACAAGAATTTACACATGTTAACTCATAGCTATGAGAGCTTTAATCGAATTTATCTAGAAAAACTTTGCACAAATTATTGCTTACGAATTAATATATATATA